TGGACCCTACTCCAGGAAGCCGTGCCAGATGTCTGCCTGGGGACCAAGCCAACAGCCAATTTGGTTGAGATGGCTGTGAAAGCCGTGCCAGGTGCCAGCCACCCCCAGCGCTGTCATGGCTACAGATAAGCTTCTGCACTGCTGTGTGTGCCAGTGTGCATCCACTGTTGAGTACTGACACCAACTAGGTTAGGTACCTCAGGCCTCATAGCACAGCCCCACTGGCTTCTTCCTGTCCCTGACTCATAGCCAGCAGTTCACTATCAGTGCTGAAGTTCTATCATCTGAGAAAGTGATGTTTGTAAAAATGAAGAAATAAAAAACAGACTGGCACCATGGTGTTGCAGGTAAAGCAACTACCTTCAGTTCTGGCATCTCTTGTGGATGCCAGTTCGAGTCCCAGCTGCTCCACTTCCAATCCAGCTCACTGCGAATGCCTGGGAAAGCAGTTGAAGGTGGCTGGAGAGTGCTCAGGCCCCTGTACCCACTTGGGAGACCAGATGGCGCTCCCAGCCCCCGGCCCCAGCTGCTGCAGGCAACTGGAGAAGGAGCCGGTAGATGGAGCTTAGGTGCTTTGTGCCGCTCTGGCTTTCTTTCGTTTTTTTGTTTTGTTTTGTTTTTTTTAAGATTGATTTATCTATTTTATTTTATTGGGAAGTCAGATATACAGAGAGGAGGAGACAGAGAGGAAGATCTTTGACTGATGATTCACTCCCCAAGTGGTCACAATGGCCAGTGCTGTGCCGATCCGAAGCCAGGAGCCAGGAACCACCTCCAGGTCTCCCAATGGGTACAGGGTCCCAAGGCTTTGGGCTGTTCTCGACTGCTTTCCCAGGCCACAAGCAGAGAGCTGAATGGGAAGTGAGGCCACTAGGATTAGAACTGGCACCCATATGGGATCCTGGTGCATTCAAGGCGAGGACTTTAACCGCTACACTATCGCACCGGGCCCCTGCTCTGGCTTTCAAACCAGTAAATACATAAAACTGAAATAAAGCCTGCCTTTAAAAGAAAGAAGACAATCAAGATGAAAATGTTCCAGATAGAGTCCAACCCCACCAGTCTTGACTGAATTCCCTGCTGTGACAGGAGAGGCCATGGGGCCTTCTCTGATGGCCTGGCCTGAACCTGTACCGTGCAGTGAGGACTGCAAACCAGGATGAACCTCTGAAGCGCTGTGTGGTGCTGCACTGGTGAGCTGGAGCTGGCTTCTTCCTTCTCCCTTTCACGGCAGAGTTAAAGAGGAAGAGAGGTCCGCTTTCTGCTGGCTCACTCTAAATGGCCACAACAACCTGAGCTGGGCCAGGCCATGGTCAGGAGCCAAGGACATGGACCATGCTCCCAAGGGTGGAGCACAGTGCAGGTGGTCAGCTGGGACTCAAACCAGTGCCCGTGTGGTGTGCTGGCACTGCAGGCAGAGGCTTCACACACAGTGAAGAGGTGTATCTGCACCTGTTGTTTTAAGCTCTTGTGGGCATATGAGTTAGAAATGAAGATGTTGTGTGGGCCTCTGTCTTCTCTCAGGAGCGGGGTCCCCCAGCTAGTGGGTTCCCCAAAACTTCCCAAGCCCCAAGTCCTCCTGCACCTGCCCTCAGACACTGTGGTTAAGTTTGTTTTGTATAGCTTAGTTCTGACCTCCTTTTATCTATATTTTTCTCCTTTAAATGATCTCTTTGAGAGTCAGAGTGCCCATTTGCTGCCCATGACTGCTAATCAGGGCCAAGGCCAGAGCTGGGGACCTCCATCCACATCCCCCATGTGTGTGGCAGGCCATCTGAGCTGTTGATGCCATCTGCCTGGTGCTGTGCCATTAGGGTGTAAGTACACTACTCCACAGGCCAGTCAGCCTGCCCTGGTGCAGCCTGTCGGCATGCTCGTGAGGATGTGTTACTGTCCTCAGTGTGGAACACATGACAGGTGTGTGTCCTAGAATGGTTGTACCGCCTCATGTGTGGGAGCCATGGGGTGGCATGCCCTTCATGTGTGCCATGCAGCAGTGGCACAGCGCATGACAGTTGCTTCCCTCAGTGTGGCTCCTTCAGAATGCAAGGATGGGGCCCGGCGGCGTGGCCTAGCGGCTAAAGTCCTCGCCTTGAACGTGCTGGGATCCCATATGGGCGCCGGTTCTAATCTGGCAGCTCCACTTCCCATCCAGCTCCCGGCTTGTGGCCTGGGAAAACAGTCGAGGACGGCCCAAAGTCTTGGGACCCTGCACCCATGTGGGAGACCCGGAAGAGGTTCCTGGTTCCTGCCTTTAGATCGGCGCAGCCATGGCCATTGCGCTCACTTGGGGAGTGAATCATCGGATGGAAGATCTTCTCTGCCTCTCCTCCTCTCTGTATTTCTGACTTCCCAGTAAAATAAATAAAATCTTTAAAACAAACGAACAAACAAAAAGAATGCAAGGATGATAGGGGAGTTCCCATGGCCATGGAGACGTTGCCATAGGGCTGGTGCTAGGGCACACCCTCCTTTTTTGCATCACTGCTGTGGGGTAAGAAGCCCCTGTGAGTACTGAACTGGAAACTAAATCTGCTTCTTATGGGGCTGCTGTCTGATCTGTCACCTGGGGTGGGGCTCTGCAGCCCGAGCAGTGGGCAGCAGGCCACCTGGAACAGCCTCAACTAAAGCCTGACCCTGTGCTGTCACCCCGCCTCCAGCCCCACAGTCCATTACAACCTGAGCTGGCCCAGGCCAAAGCTGGTAGCCTGGAGCTTCCGCTGGGTCTCCTATGTGGGTGCAGAGGCCTAAAGACTTGGACCGTCTTCCCAAGGGTGGAGCTGAGTGCAAGTGGAGGAGCCTGGACTACAACCAGCACTAGCCCCACAGACCTCAGCATTATCCCCTGCAATCCACTGTCCCCAGCTCCGCCATTCCAGGCTGGGCCGCCCTCCTGTCCGTGAGCCCAGGGAGGCTGGTTCGGTGCTCGTGTGAGGGCAGCACTGCAGACTTCATGTGGAGTCCTTGGCATCTGCCCTCTCTGTTTTGTGTAGCTTGATTGATTTATCTGAATGGCAGAGGGGAGACCTTTCCCACCATGTGCCATATCATTTGAAAGTGAAAGGAAAGAGGGGTCCCTGTCCCTCAGTTCCCTCCCCAAATGCCCACAGTAGCCAGGGCCTGACCAGGGCAAAGCCAGGGGCCTGGAGCTCCACCCAAGTCCCACGGTTCAGGGGCCCATGTGCCTGAGCCATCACCTGTGCCTCCATCCTGGGCATTCAGATGGATTCACGGACACACCTCCTCATGTTGTTGATTTTCTTCTTTTATGTCTTATCTGCTTAAGGGGCAGAGTTAGAGTAAGGCAGGAGTTCCATCCCTCGACCGTGGGAGAGCAGCTCTTGGGCAGGTGCAGGGCTGTCAGGCTGACATCCATGGTCGTCTGACCTGCTCCATGGGCTTATTGGTGCACATGGACAGTGTAGTGCTGACTGAGGCAGGTGTTGTCCACTGTCCTCTGATCCAAGTCAAGGCTCCCGCAGGCTGGGGACAGGATCTCTGGAAGAGGTGCTAGGCAGGGCTGGTTAATTCCAGAGCTGCTCAAGACATAGGGTTGCAGGGTCGCACACAGGTTGCCCGGGGCTTCTGTTCCAAAGGCTGGCCTGGGGAGTACCTCCATGGTCCTCCTAACCAGGCTTCCCCTCCCCCAGGGCTGGGTCTTGGAACCCTGGGAACTTGTGGTTGGTTTCCATGGCAATTGGCCCCTGTGTTTGGTGATGCTCCAAGGCTCACAGATGTGAGCTGTGCTAAGTGACATGACAGCAGACCAACAGCACGGCCCCACGCTGCCTCGGAGACCACCTGCCTTGCTGTCCCAGCCCCGTGTGGCCAGGGAGCAGCCAGGGGGCTAGGATCTGCCGGCCGGAATCAGCATGTTCCCAGTTGATGCTGGCAAGGCTCGAAGCTGGTGTTGTGTGGCCTGCCTTTGTCTGCTGGGGTTACCAGTCCCTCCCCGGGGTCCTGATGGATGCTCCCATTGGTGGGAAGAGGGGTTGGGCAGGTGGCTGGGCCGCCTCCTTGTGTATTTTTTGTAGAGTCTGCGGCTCAGGGATGAGGCTCGGGGTATAGAGAGAACCTGCGTGGGCATAGACGGGGCAGAACCCTTGGTTGCTGATGGGCACCCTGGGATGCCTGTCTGCTTGGGGCTGGATGCTGTTGGGAAGTGGGCAGACTGGGGGATAGTCCTGACGGTCCCATCACTGACTAGCATCCCGGTGGGCATGCAGCATCCACTGGAGGGTATCCTCTGTGGCTGAGGTAGAGGCTACTCTCGGAGGCTCTTGGCTCTCGTGTCTCCATCTGTCCTGACCGTGGCTGCAGAGGGAGAGCTGAGTCCTGTGCCTCCAGTCCCTCTTCTAGTTGGGGGCTCGGTTCCTGCACTGTCATGGTTTCTCTGGGCATAGCAGTCAGGACTGTCCTGAGGCTGGGCAGGGAACGTGAGCTGTGCACTGCAGGTGGGCAGAAGGTTCTAGCCGGGCAGTTCCTAAGGCAAAGCCACCTGGGCCTTGTCCTGTGTGTCCTGCAGTGCATTGTGCTGTTGTTGGCGAGCTCTGAGCAGTTCCAAGGTCCACATGACCTCAGCCTGAGGCGCAGAGCCGCTGGAGCCCTTATATGTCGCTGCTGGTGTGTTTGTGTGTAGCAGTGTGTGTGGTTTCTGCTTTCTCCTGGGTGTTTCTGTATCTCTTGCTGTTCTCCCTTCACACCCCTGTATCCCTGGTGCAGCATCACCCTTGCAAACCCAAGTAGCAGCATATTGAAGTCACTTCTCACATGCGGGGTAGAGCCTGCCTGGGGCTTCCGTGTCTGCTCTAATGCATCCCATGTCTTATGTCAACATGGCTACCTAACCCTAAATCTAACCCATGTCCCACACTGACATAGCTGCCAGCTCTGATGTGTCCCATGTATGACACTGACATGCTCACCTGCTCTGATGTGTCCCGTGTCCCATGCTGACATCACTGCCCGCTCTGACGCATTCTGTCTCTGTTCTTGTGCAGACTAACTTAACATGGCCGACCAGAGGCAGCGGTCCCTCTCCACATCCGGGGAATCACTCTACCATGTGCTCGGACTGGACAAGAATGCCACCTCTGATGACATCAAGAAGTCCTACCGGTAGGAGCCACGTGGCCAGCATCCGGGTCCAGGGTCTGTGGGGTGGAGGGGTTGTGAGAGCAGGCATTGGTCTGGGCTTGCAGGAAGCTGGCCCTGAAGTATCACCCTGACAAGAACCCCGACAACCCTGAGGCGGCAGACAAGTTCAAGGAGATTAACAACGCCCACGCCATCCTGACGGATGCCACCAAGAGGAACATCTACGACAAGTACGGCTCGCTGGGGCTCTACGTGGCCGAGCAGTTTGGGGAGGAAAATGTTAACACCTACTTCGTGCTGTCCAGCTGGTGGGCCAAGGTGAGGGCGGCTGGTGTGGGTCAGGAGCCCCAGTTCCCTGTCCTGGGGGAGGGGGGTGGTCCCTGTTGCCAGCATTGCTGTGTAGATGGAGGAGTCTCTGGGCTAGGCTGTGTGTCTGTCCTCTGTTAGGTCTCCCACCCCCGTGTGTCATGCCTGAATCCCCACCCTATGCCGTGGGTATACCTGGACCTCCCCAGCCCCCCAGCGCCTTGTGGTGCCCCAGCCCCTGAGCCTGGCTTCTCGCCCTAGGCCCTGTTTGTCGTCTGCGGTCTGCTCACCTGCTGCTACTGCTGCTGCTGCCTCTGCTGCTGCTTCAACTGCTGCTGTGGCAAGTGCAAGCCCAAAGCCCCTGAGGGTGAGGAGGCTGAGTTCTACGTGTCACCCGAGGACCTGGAGGCGCAGCTGCAGTCGGATGAACGGGGTGAGTGGCTGCCTGCCCCTGCCAGCCAGGGCAGGCTGCCAGATGGTCCCTGAGCCATGTCGCCTGTCTTGTCAAACAGGAGGGCACTGACGCTGCCGCGGGGTTTGGCGGCCGGCACTGTTGAGGTGTGAACGTGGACACGGAGGTAACAGGTGCAGCTGACTCGCCCAGGCCGCAGTAGCCTAGCTCAGGGAGCAGTGGGGGGTGCAGGCAGGGTGGGCCACAATGGGTGGAGCTCAGCTGGCCGGCCCTTGGAGCCGCATCCTGGCCGGCTGCTGTTGCTGCTGCCACCGCTGCTACCCTTGGAGCCATGTCCCTCCACTGGCTGCTGCTGCCACCCAGGGCCCACGCCGCCCCGTACCATGAGGCTGCGCTTCCCTTTCAGAGGCCACGGACACACCCATCATCATACAGCCGGTGTCCGCCACAGAGACCACCCAGCTCACAGCCGACTCCCACCCCAGCTACCACACCGACGGGTTCAACTAAGCGCAGGAGGGCCAGCGCCCACCCACCTCGACCCTAGAATCATGAACTGTAGTCGCGGGTGAGGCACCGGCCCCCCCATCTGCGTGAAGTGCTAGCATGCAGTCCGTGAAGCTGTGTCGCCGGTCTCCTGTCCTTCCTCAGTTAGTAGCATGTGTGCATTCGTCCATGGTCCTCCAGCCGGTCAGCCCAGTGAGGCTGACCCAGCCACCAGGTGCCGCCCCACCCCCCTGCTGAGCTGGGGTCCCCTCCCCTCTGTGCTGGGCCAGGATCCCCCCCCCACGCCTCTCCCCTCTGTGCTGGGCTGGGATTCCCCACCCCCACACCTCTCCCTTCTGTTCTGAGTCTTGGTCTTCCCTGCACCCCTCCTCTCTGTGCTGGGCTCTTGCCTTGGGTGTAGCCTGGTTGGGGTCTCCGGCCTTGGGCAGGGACCGTGGGTGGGTCCTGTTCAGAGTGGGCAGTGGAGTTTCCCTGCCGGCAGAGGTCTGCTGTGTCCCCACACCTTTCCTGGGTGCCCCTGTGGGCACCGTCCTCCACATTCCTTCAGGCCAGCCTGTCCTCCATGTGTCCCTTCTGGACCTGTGAGAGTTGTCAGAGGCCACTCCAGCCCCCGAGTCATGGTCAGAGCCCGGAGGTCCCTTGCTGGCACTGTGTGAGCACTCCGCAGTAGTGATGGACCACCCCAGAGCTCTTGGCCCCACCCATTGCCCATGGTTCAGACAGAGCCAAAGACACCAGGTTCCCCAAGGAAGGACCAGGCAGGCCCCAGGAGGCCAGCAGCTAGACTGGACATCCCTCTGTGTCACACATGTGTGGGTGGCACCTGGGTACCGGGTGCCATGGCTGTACAGAGTAGGTTCAGGTGGGCCAGGAGTCAGAATGGGGCTTGCCTTGGCAGGGATGCTCACTGGGGACCCCAGGTCCAGCCTCACTGCCTCAATGAGGCCCCAGCCAACCCAGGTCCCCAGAAGGCTATGTCTGCCTATCTCGCTTTGTGAATGACCATGAAGATGGCAACACCTGGTTCCTGGTGGAGACATGGCACTGAGCCAACGAAATTGCGTGCCAGGTGATCGATGCCGGCAGCAGTGAGGAAAGGGAAGTGAGCTCTTCAAATCAGAGAACAGAGAGGCAGGCGGAGGAGCGGCCAGAGTGGGCTTCTATGGCCCCAGGAACCAGGGCTGGAGCCAGAAGCAGAAGTGGCCAGCTGCCCATTCAGGGGCACTCTCCTGACTCTTGGTCAGCACTCAGCAGCAGGGCGGGCAGTGGCTCGGGTTGGCTGAGTTGTTTCCTAGGCGGAGCCTGTGAACTAAATAAATCATGTAGAATTTGTGAAACCAAATAAACCAGCTGCTGTGGAGGTGCTGGCTACCTGGGCAGGTGGGTGGGGGCTCTACCAGGGAAAGGGCTTCTGGTTTCCTTCCTCCTAAATCAAGGACTTCTTGGGCCCCTTCCTGTCCCAGTGAGACCAAGCAGGGCCCTTATGTTCCCTGGGGCCCCTGGTGGGCAGCTGAGTCTGCAGCACTCTAGCCAGTGAGCCCTCACATTCTCCTGGGGTTGCTGTCCGGCACTCATGGACACAGTGCACACACTGGGCCCCAGCCCCACTGGCTCCCAGTAGAGTTGGTGCTGAGAGGAACTCAGATGGATACCCCAAGAATATGGTGTTAGATCCAGTCCTGGAGGGTGCAGCACCCAACCCTGTAGGCCATCCATGGTTCCCAGAACCTTCTCTGTCAGTCTCGGGTGCCCACCTGACATCATGATTGTCACTATCATGAACAGTTCTGAGCCACGGGCCTCCTTTCTGGGCTAGTATCGAACAGGTCGGGGCAAGGTCACAGGGCATGTCACTGGCCCAGCCCCTCCTGTCATTCAGGTCAGTGGCCACCACGGCTGGGCTGGGCTGTGGACATATTTGAGTCTCCAGCCACTTGTGTCCTGCTGTCCAGGGATGACACGCCTTGCAGGTAGTGGCTGTTGGCCACTGGTCGCAGTCCCGAGGCTTGCACAGCCTCTATCAGCCTGGAGTCCAGTCTCGGGCTCCCGTGGGGGCATTGCCCTGTACACTCTGGGACCTGGGAAGGGATCCAGTGGGGGTGGAGGGAGCCAACCTGACAGCAACATCAAAGACACCAGAATTGGGCTCTCCCTGTGTGCCCTTGGTCAGTGAAGGGCAAGGCATAGCAGGTGGAATGGAAGCACTCAGCTGCCAACATGGCGAAAGTGTTGGACCCAAATGGATGCTTGCAGGGTACCTTCATTGGTAATTGCCTCAAACCCGAATTAGATCAGGTGCTGCGGCATTGTGCGTAAAAGCTCCACCTGCAGCCCGGGCAAGCAACATGGGCACCAGTTCAAGTCTTTGCTGCTCTAGTTCTGCCCAGCTTCCTGTCAGTGGAGGATGGCCTATCCAGTGCTTGGGCCCCTGGCACCCATGTGGGAGACCCGAGTGGAGCTCCAGGATCCTGGTTTTGACCTGGTCAGGCCTGGCTGTTGTGGCTATTCAGGGAGTGAACTGGGGAATGGGAGACCTTTCAAATGACAAACTTGCCTAGCCACTTCCACTGCCACACACTTTGAGTTTATCAGTTCCCCTACGCCATGTTGTGTTGTGTGGCTGATGGCATCAGGCCTAGGTTGCTATGCAACAGCTGGACCTGGGGCCTGACAGCCTTGCTGCCCACCAGGCTGTGTACAGCCTGGAGTGTCCACTCTTGTACTCAGCCAGGACTAGGCCAAGCCAAAGCCAGAAATTCAATCTAGGCTGCCCACGTGGTACAGCCAGCAGCTGCTGGCCTCAGTGTGTGACAAAGGGAGCAGCTGGGCATTACAGTAGTGTTTGGGGTGAGTAGGGGTGTATGTGTTTATGAACATATGAGTGTATGTGCACATGCGCCTGGGACAAGGTGGTTGGCACCCATGCCTGGTGCCTGGCAGGTGTCCCCAGCCCCCCAGGCAAGTGGCTGCCTGCCGGCCCCTGGAACCCAGGCTTGGCTGAACCCACCTGCTCCATCCCCCCTACAGCTCTGGCACCTCCAGGTCGCTGCCTCCCCTAACCCTGTTGGGCACTTGCTGCCCACCTTGGCCTGAGCAGCATCCTCAACTTCATGCATGCTGCTCCGGGTGCCAAGCCAAGAATCGCCTCCCTGGCCAAGAGGCTCCTCTGTCCCAACACAGGACAGTAGCCTGCTGTCCCTCCTGGGCCTGAGGGATCCACGCCTTGATGGCCCATCACTGTCCCATGCTATATGGGTGGACAGGTGACCCTTTGGGGCTGATGACTTGAGTGGCCAGGGACAGCATGCTCAGCTGGCAGTGCTAAAGGCACAGTCCAGGACTCCCAAGCCAGGCTTCACCCCTACAGCCCTGGGACTGTGGAAGTGGAAGAAGAGGCCAGGGGGCTGTGTGTACTGTCCACACCTTGCCAGCTGCTGGGGTGTCCTGGCCCAGCCCAGCAGGCATTCACCCCTTCTCTTGCATGGCCCAGAGGGTGGCACTTCACCCCCTCTAGGGAGTACCCAGGGTGGACGCCTCACCTGGGACCAAGCCAAGAACCGAACATGACCTGGGTGCTGCTCAACTCTTCCTCTGGAGAAGCCTGGCTGGAAGCCCTGGGATAACTTACTCCCATCTCAGGACCCAGAAGAACACAGGGTGGGGCCTGGGTGGACACAGGGAGGCTGTGCTCATGGGACACTGCTGACCACGAGTTCTAGGGCCAGCTGCCTTTTGGTCATGCTTTCTGCCTTTGTCACCCATGGCCTGGCCTTCACCCAGGGATGTCTGAGCTGGACCAACGATAGAGACTGGGGTGCCTGACCCCATGCCCAACCTGTCTGCCCAATGCAGTGTTGACCTTGCATTGTGTGTGGCAGGGGCAGAGGAGAGTGCCTGATTATCAAACACGCAGCTGCCCCCTGGAGGCCCTGGCTATTCCACAGCCATCACCCAAAGTTCCCTCCAGGTCCCTTAATGGCACATGGTAAGTGCATAAGACAGTGATCAGCTGTCCCCTGGCCAGACTTGGCACCACTGAGCTGTGTGCCCCCATACCTGCTGTGGTTCAGAGCCAGAAGTGGGGGTTGAGTTTGTGCCGCCCTGGTACCTGGCCACCTCACATGTTTGCATCCCTGGAACTTTTATTGGTTTTGTAAAACACACCAGGCACACTGCATTGGGGACAGCCATAACACTAGGCTGAGCTTTCACCTGGCCCAGACAAGGATAGTCAGGGGGCAGGTGGGTCAGCCCACCGAGGCCACTTCTTCCTCGTCGCTGCCATCCGGGGCTGCGTCTGTGCCGAAGTAGCGGTCGCCGAAGTTCCCTGAGAGAAAAGGAGCTGCTGAGGAAGTCCCAGGGTTCCCCAGGCTGCAGGGCTGGGGACCTGGGCCTCACCGATGCCAGGAATGATCCGGAACAGGTCATTGACACGCTTGTCCACAGCCGTGGTGATGATGCGCACGCTGGGGAAGGCATAGGCCACTGAGTGGACGCCCATCTCCGCCATGAGCAGCGACAGCAGGAAGATCTTGTCCTCAGGCACGTCATGATCCTGTGGGCAAAGTGGTCACACGGTGGGCACAGCACAGTGGGCATGGCACAGCACAGTGGGCCAACCCTGCTCCATATGCTACTCACCAGGAGCACACGCACCGCCATCATGGCTGCAGCACCCGTGGACACAGTGCAGTCCATCAGGATCACGTGGTCATCACTGATGTCCTTGGGCAGCCGCAGGTAGTGCAGCTGTGGGCAGTCGTGGGTTCAGTGTTTGCAGTGTCCCCATCCCCGCTACACCAAGGGCTTCCCTGTGACCCCCCAACTGTGAGTGGGTTGGTTTAGATGCGGATGGCACCCCACCCTCAATCCCATCCCCACTGGCACCTCAGGCTCCCCGGTGAGTGGGTTGGTCTGGATGAGGATGGTGCCAATGCGCACATCTTTGCACACAGCACGCAGTGCAGGCTCCATGGTCTCACCCGCCCGCAGAATGGATACGCCTGTGATCTGTGGGGTGCACAGGTGCTGAGTTGGCCCCGCCCTGCCCCCCCCCACCCTCCTCAGGCCCACACCTACCTGCTTCCCTGCATAGCACTTGCCAGCGTAGTCCTGCCCTTGTGGGGTCTGCACCACACAATCCTGTGGGCAGCGGGTGCAGGTGAGCAAAGGTGACACAGCACTCCACTCCCTGTGGCTGCCATTCCTCTCCCATACAGTTGCCCAATGCCCCTGCAGCCCCTGCCTCCCACAGGCCCCATACCTGGAAGGGCAGGAAGGACAGCGCGTGCTCAATGAGCAGGCGCATGAGCCGCTTGGAGTAGAAGATGAACTCGTCACGGCTGGTCTCCTTGTCCCTGTGGGCAGGGACAGCGGCCAGGCTTAGGGTTCAGTGGGCAGGGCTGGGGGATGTGGGAGTGCCCGCAGGGTCTCACCTGATGATGGTATGCATGCCCCGCACCTGTGGCGAGCTCTCCAGAACACTCAGTGTGCGGGGTAGTGGGTGGTACTGGTGCGCCGAGGCCAGCGCAGCCCTGGAACACAGCCATGTGCAAGGTGCTGGAGTGTGGCTGGGACTCCAATTGGGCACAGCCGTGGTGAGGTGCCAGGAGTGCAGGGTGGGGCACACAGGCAGAGGAAGCAGAGGGGACAGGTGCGGGGACAGGACACACAGCGCCCACCAGCCTTAGGGAACGGCTCAGTGTTGCCCGCTGCACTGCCTGGAGGTAGCGGGGTAGGCACAGGGCAGTGCAGGGCAGGTGCGGGGCAGGGAAGTGGCACACAGCAGGCACAACCAGAGCGCTCTGCTCACAGATCCCAACGCAGCTTCCTCTGCTCGCCAGGTGCAGGCAGTTCAGGGAGGAGCAGGGCAGGACACAGGGGTATGGTGAAGAGAGAACAGAGAGAAGACCACTCAGCAGAGTGGGCACGTCTGCAGCTGGCAGCTGAGATAGGAGTGCCCACTGCCCTAGCCTGGCCCCGCCCTGCCCACCAGCGAGGCTTCTAGGAGCTGGAGGCGCAGCTGCCGCTTCCTTGCTGGCCGGGGCTCAGCACATAGGGGCGTTTTCTCAAGTTTGGCGCCCTAGAAGCCTTGGCTGAGAGACCAGGTGAGAGCCAAGCAGACGTGCAGGGACAGGAGGCAGGTGGAGGCACTTCCAGGGTTTCGGGAGCTCCACAGGGGTCCAGGAGAAGGGTGTGCCCTGGTGCTGAGACAGTGCAGGTACAGCCGAGCAGCGGCACCACTCCCCTTCCAACCCAAGGGGTGCTGGGCACAGGCAGTCAAGGTGCCCCAAACCTTGAGCTGAGGCAGATGTGGTTGCAGAGAACACACCAGTGGCCACAACCCTGGGACTAACTCCAAGAGGTCATCCCCTCTGGGCTGCAGCTAGGTCTGCCTGGCACAGGGACTGTGGGACCAGGGCAGTGACCTAGCCTAGCTGTGTTGCATACCCTGGGCACCCTGCCCACCGCTGGAAATGCCTCCACGTCTGCAGACGGGTGTGTCGGGGGGGGGTCTTACCTGACACTGAGCTCACGCTGTGGCAGCAACGTGCGGAGACACAAGGGAACAGGCAAGGCATCAGTGACCAGGGCAGGCGGTCAGCTATCTCCACCCAGGAAGGCAAAAGCCGTGCAGGGAGGCAAGTGACTCTGGGCCGTTCACCTGAGACCACCTGGGCCAGGATCCACACCGGGGGTGGGGGGCAAAGATGCCCCCACCCCCGGCTCTGCTCCACAGGCCTTAACCCTAGAGTACCGTGGGGCCTCTGGCTGAACAACCCACCATGAGGAGCCACTGCCCATCCTAGGCTGGTGGGTCCCTCATTACCCATGTGCTTTTCCTACAGAGTCAGACCAGAAACTCCGGCCCCCTGCAGTGACCTGGTGGGGGCAGCACAGGAAGCAGGGGCTGAGGAGCTGGGCAGTACGGGGAGTAGGGCATGGAGCAGGGTGAACAGTGGTCGAGGAGCTGGATAGCCTTGGGTCGGGCAGCACAGGGGCTAAGGAGCAAGGCAGGCAGCAGGGGCTGAGGAACTGAGCAGCACAGGAGGCAGGGCAAGCAATGGCTAAGGAGCTGGACAGCACAGGGGGCAGGAGCCTAGGAGCTGGGCAGCCTCAGGGCTCACCTCTTCCAGCTGGCTGTGCACGTGCTGCACTATCAGGTCGATGGCCACTGCGTTCCCGCTCCCTGGGCAGGTTGGAACAAAATCAGGGCATGCTCAGAGCAAGGCATGCTCAAACTGGCAGAGTGAGCATGGCCAGCTATGGGGGCGTGACCAGATGTGGAGAGCATGGTTGGATGTGAGAGCTAGGGGTCAAGCTGGCTGCAGAGGACAGGGGTCAGATAGGATGGGGCATGACCAGGATGTTGTGCGGTCTGGCATGGTCAGATGTGGGGACCTGGTGGGGTAGGGCTGGGCCAGGCCACCCCTCCCCCATGGCAGCCCCCCTCACCTCTGGGCACCACGATGTCAGCCAGGCGCATGGTAGGCTGGATGTACTGGTCAAAGGCTGGCTTTACAAACTTATTGTATTGCTTGATAACACCCTCAATGTCACGGCCCCGCTCCCCAATATCACGGCGCAGCCGCCGCACAAGGCGAATGTCTGAGTCAGTGTCCACAAAGATCTTCATGTCCAGGAGCTGAAGGACAGCAGGTCAGCAGCTGCCCACACACACCAGAGCAGGTGCTGCCAAGTGGGCCAGTGGAGACCTGAACGTGGGGAGCCCATGGCCAGGAGCCTGGCGAGGGTGGGAGCAGTAATGCAGGGACACAATTCACGCCAGGAGCAGCCACAGGTTGCACCTGCACGGGGTCCTGGCAGCCACTCCTGCCTGAAGGTCCTGGTGACCCTGCCACTAGGTCTTGACCACAGTCCACAAGACTAAGCTGGCTGAGGCCCACCCGGAACTCCCAGGGATGAGCAGTAGCAGCACAAACCCCACTGGGGAGTCTGAGGGAGTGGCCAGGTCAGTCCCAGGAAGGGCAAGGCAAGAGGGGCAGCCCTGGGCATGTGGGTGCAGGCCCTCACCTCCAGCAGCGTCTTGTCTGCGAAGGCCATGATGCCCTCAAAGATGATGACATTGGCGCCATACAGAGTCTTCTGCAAGGGGGATCCAGAGCTGGGGGATCCAGAGCTGCAGGCTCCAGTGCCCAGCCCGCAGCCCCTCCCCCTCTGCCCGCAGCCTACCCAGTCCTTCTTGCGGCTGTGTGTGGTGAAGTCGTAGACAGGCACCTTGACGCTCTTGCCCTGCTTGAGCTTCTTGAGCGTGGAGATGATGAGGTCAAAGTCAAAAGCATCAGGGTGGTCGAAGTTGAAGTCATTGCGGGCAGCCTGCTCCTGCTGCTGCTGGGTCAGCACCTGTGGGGGAGGCTAGTGCTACATGCAGTGCTCAGGGGCAGCTGGTGCACAGCAGGGGCTGTGGGCAACATGCCCTGCCTGGGGTGCAGGGCGCTCTGACCTTGTAGAAGGAGTCCATGGACAGCAGTACCACCCAGGGCACATCCAGGGCCTCAATGATCATCCTGGCCACTGTGGTCTTTCCAGAGGCGCTGCCTCCTCCCAGGCCTGTAGGCCAGAGGGGGGCACCCATGAGCACCCAGCCACAGGATGTGCCCACCCCAGTGCCAGAACCCAGCACCCACCGATGGCAAAAGCTTCCTTGGACTGAGTGCCATGCTCATTGTACCAAGGTGGCCGGCCGGCTGTGTAGATGGTCCTCTTGCTGGTGCGCAGTAGCGGTGGCTCTGACTTGCACTGGCTGGTAGTACGCTTCCGAGGTGAGCGGCCAGCTCCCACAGGTGGCAGCAGTCTGTCCAGGGATTCGGCATTGCTGCTGCACAAAGGGATAAGCCCAGCCTGGCCCCACGTCTGGCTGGCCTGATCAAACCCCTGCAGACACAGCTGCCGTGTCCAGCCAGTCCACAGGCAGCCTGGCCTGAGGTCCTACGGTCACACAGTGGGGGCTTCAGCAGGAAAGGCCCCAGCTTCTACCCTGGGGAGCAGCTAGGTTGGGCAAGAGCTCCCTGGGGCTGCATCCCCCCCACTGCCCCACCAACCCCAGGCAACATCTGACCACAGTATGTGGACACGGGATGGCACCCAGACTAGGACACCCGAGATGGACTCCTCCAGTGTCCCTACCTAGGCTACCCACAAATCCAAGAGAAGCTTCAGTCTGATGTTCCACCAGGGCACAGGGTGCTGCCACAACACCGAGCAGGGCCCTAGCAGCAAGGGAGCCAGCAGGACGTGCCCCACTCATCTACCACCATGAGTACCAGCCACTGCATGAGGACGACACTCAGCCAGGGCACAATGGCCACTGCTTCCCCCTGCAGCTCAAACGTGGCCCAACAGGGACCAGCACAAACAACAGCCTGGCCCAATGAGCATGGGTGAGCGGCTCCAGGATCAGCACCATGCCATGCTGAAGTGGGGGCAGGCAGGGGGTCTAAGTGGGTTCCAAGCCTCAGGTGTGGCCTATGCTGCCCCCTAGAACAGAGGGCCCTATGGGCGAGTCCATGACCATGGGCTTGCTACTCTCATCAGGACGAGAAAACTCCAAGCTGCCTCAGCCCACTGGGAAGCAGGATCTCAGTAGCAAAGGAGCTCCAGCACAGAGGACCCAGCTGTCCCTCCCTGGGGGCAGGATTCCCCTTATCAGGGCTGGGACAGGGTGGTATCTCCCCGCCTTACCCATGCACCAGGCTAAAGCTGGCTGGAAGGGCAGGGTTGGCCTAGGGCTCCCTGATGAAGGCTCTCCTTCCCTGGGGGCTCCCCTGATGGTCACTGGTCATTCCCTCATTGTGCTGACCACCCACAGCAGGCCAGGGTGGGCTCTACCTCAATCAGGCACCTCTGGCTGTGCCACGTTCTCCCACATCTTAGGAGCCTCCCCTCCCCTCAGGACAAGGGTGCTCCTGACCACAAGGCCCCCAGCGACCCAACTGCTCCCCAAACCCATGCCCACCAGCCAGCACAGACCAGGGACCTCCCCAGTAGTGGGCCCCACTGCCACTACTCACCTGCTTTCTGCTCCTAGGGCCCAACACCCAGAGATCCTGATGCCAGGGTAAGTTGGGGGGCTGTTCATGGCTGGCACAGGTGTGTGCGCCCTCTCAGACCCTCAGCAGCCCCCTGGGGCCACCTAGATACTCAGATGCCCCTCGCCGGCCCTCCATGGCTGAAGGGCAGCAGGTTGGGTTTGAAGCCGGAGAGGCTCAGGGATCTGCCAGACACGCGCCTAAGAGGATCACTGCTGGGCCTGCGCCTAATGTTAATAGCACCAGCTTTGCCTGGCTCAGCAAGACAGATGGACAGGAGCCTCAGCTGCCTGCCCCAGACCCCTGCGACCACCTAGGCCGGACACACCTCCTAGGCTCCTAACCCTCCTAGTGGACAGAGCAGGACAAGCTGAGTTGCAGGCTGCCTAGGTGACCTGAATGTCATAGCGAAGGGGGTGCCCCACCCTGTCCCTTGGTGCCTCCTGCAGGCACAAACAAATCTGAAACTCTACCCTGGGGCCCAGGGTGCCCCACCCCCATCCCTGCTCCTCTCACTGGGCCTGCAGCTGAGACGGCCCACCCCCACCCCACGGGAAACAGCTCCAACCACTTTTTTGAGGTGAGAAGGAGGTCAGGCGGTGGTGGCGGTGGTGGCGTGTGAGATAAGGGGGGCCAAGGACTGTGGCTGGGCACCCCTGGGGTCCACTGCTCCTCCTAAGTCTGCATCGCCTGGACTTCCTGCCTGATCCCACTCAGCTAGCCAGGACCTGGGACGCAGAGGCCTCAGGTTGGAGAGGGGTTTGGGGTTGGCCAGCAATGTCTGAGTGGCACATGAGACCTTAGCTGCTCAGCCCAGCTGACCAAACCCCTGCACACGGCTGTGGGGGATGAGGAATGCAACCAACCGAAGTGTCTTCAATGTGAGGACCCCCACTCCCAGGTCCTGACTCACCAGGGGAGGCATGCCAGAGACCACCCATCGCCACTCAGCAGGGTGTCGACCACACCTGCAGTATTTAAGTCGGGTATAGGAAGGGGTGGAGAAGGGGACTAACAGCAGAGACAGTTTCTTCCCACAGGTTAGCGGTCAGGCTGTTGTGCCACTCACACCCTTTATTTCGCGGGAGAACGAGTGAACATGGGGACAGAAGTCGCAGAGCCCTAAAGTGCCATGAGTGGTCAGGACCAACCCAGGTCCCCCTGCTCTGGCCGAGTCGTCACTGAGCCATCAGAACAACGAGAGGGAATGCGGTCCAGGGACCACCACCCGGAACTGGCCGTGAGCTGCAGGACCTGAGAAGCCCCAAGGCGGGGTGAGCTCTGCATCCCCGCCTGCCCAGAAGCTTCCGGACGACCCTCACCGTCTGTGGCCCCAGCCTTCCCGGAAGTCAGCGGCGCCAGGTGGGGACAGGGGGTAGAGCGGACCCAGAGCCACGCGTGCCCTCGGGGAGAAGGGCCGCCAGGAACGGCGCCCAGATGGCCCCGGGGCTCTCCGCGCGCCCCCCACTCCATAAAAGGAGGCGGGGGGGGGGGCTCCGGGACATCCCGGCCCTCAGACTCGGCCCGGAGCCCGGCCCCAGCCGGCGATCCGAGTATGGCAAACCCCGGCGCCTACCGGCCCTCGCTGTCGTCCGCGTCCCTGGCGCGCGGTGGCGGCGTGGTGGTGTTCGCGGGGGTCGGGGGCGCAGCCATGCGGCCCAGCCTCTCCTCCGCCCGCGCGGACTACGAACCCCACAAGGCTGCGCGGGCGCGCACCGGCCGGAAAGCCCGCCCCTTAACTCAGCTGCACGAAGCGCTGGGAAAAGTCAATGTTTATTCGGTACAGTCGTGTCCGGTACAGACGGGACGCCGGCTGCCGCCAGGACGCGCACGCACGCGTGGGCCTCGCACCGCACCTGCGCACTGAGCGCCCGCCTCCGCGGGGCCGTAAAGTGCATCCGAGCTGGACTGGGGGTGCTGGCCCCCCAGCCGGCCCCGGGGCTCGAGGTAGATCGGCCGGGATCGGGGCTGCAGGGAGGCCTTGCACCCCCGCCCTGGTGACTCCGCAGACTCACGCCCGCCCCGGAGAGGGAGCCGGAGGGGCGGCGACCCGGCGCCCTAGAGACGAGCAGGGGTTAAAGTGCTAACGTCGCGTTTCCCTGGAGCCCTCTCCCCACCCAGCGCCCACTACCTGAGAGGCCCCGCCCCGCCGCTGCCCGGGCCCCAGGGCGTCAGATGGGAGCCACCGGCCGGGACCTGCTCCCTGCCTAGCCCGGCTGCACCTGGGGCCAGGGGCGCCCAGTAGCCACTGCCTCTTTTGAGTGGCCGAGCCCCAGCCTGCCGGCACCAGGAAACCCTTAGCACCAAAATGTCAGATTGTTGAATTTTTGTATCAAAAACAATTAAAAAAAAAAAAAAAAGGATGGTTGTTACTTATGACAGCAACAAGACTGGCTTCCACTACACCCGGGAAACACGCACAGGCAAATACCCAAATCCACATATCCAGGCTGAGTCCTCGTCCCCCTCCCGCCCCAGGAACCTGACCTCGCTCCTGACCCTGCCTTCTGAGTGTCCCCTGGCATGGCCCCCCCACTCTGCCTGACCCCAGCTCTTCTAGGGTCCCAGGCTGCCCTGTCCTCTCATTGACCAGCCTCCCAGACCCCAAGGGAAAGGTTCTGGCAAGGTGTGGGAGGGGCTTCTCCCATAGCAGCCCTTCTCCATGTGCCCAGGACTCCAGAAGACCCCAGGCCCAGTGCTCCCCATATGGCCTGCAGGGCACAGCAGGCTCTGGCACCCCTCAGCCCCAGTCTGGCTTCTGAACCTTATGGTGGAAGCAGCGTCCAGTGTCCGGCCTTGACCCCTCGCAGGCCAGAGCCTGGAGAGATAGACACCCCAAAGAGAGGGCAGGGGCGGTCAGCCGTCTGATCAGCCATATGTGCGATCTGGGGAGGTAGCTGAGCTGACATCACAGTGCCAGAGCCCCAGAGCCAGGCTCGGGACCCAGCAGGACGCGAAGGAGCAGGGACAGCCCTGAGGTCCAGATCTCAGGACACCAGAGCATCTACAGGAAGGACACTGGTGACCCTTGCCTGGCCAGAGGGGGCCTAGTGGCCAGCCCACCCCCACCAAGCTCATTTCTCGGGTGTCTTGCCAGCCACCTTGCGGCCAGCGGAGCCCCGGGGCCCCCTGTCTCTGCCTCCTGGAAACCAGTTCTCCCTGCACAGGGCTGGGGCCTTGGGTGTGGACCCCTCGGGGGGCGGGGCCTTGGGCTTGCGGCCCCGCCTCTTGCCACCTGATACACTCCTTCTCTTCTCCCTCTCCGGCACCTCAGGGTCCCGGCTCCTGTGTCTGGGGAGTGTGTCTGCCGAAGTCCGGAACCAGTTCTAGGGGAAGGAAGGTAGTGGTGAGGATGGGAGTGGGAGCCCCACCCACAGCTGCAGCCCCCACCCACCCAGCAGGAGCGGACCTCCGCATGGGTCTTCAGGATGTGGTACTTGACGCCGCTCTCGCTGCCAAACTCTTTGGGGCACAACAGGCAATGGTACTTTCCTACCAGGTGGTCTCCCTGCAACACAGCAGTCAGCCATGCGCCTTCCCCCCAACAGGATGGGGGGGGCAACCACCGAGGCAGGGGGTACCACCTCCCTCCTGACCCTCACAGCCAGAGCCCAGGAGCCACAGACAGGGACTGGGCGTGACCCCAAGGGCCACTCATACTCGGGATCCCAGACACTCCACCTGGCCATGGGGAGCCCCACAACTGACCTTGCCGCAGCTAGCCAGGTGGGCCTTGAGGCCAGACACGCTGGAGTAGATGGCTTCACAGCACTGTGGGAGGGAGGCAGCGTGGGGGAGGGCTGAGGGTACCCCACCCTCCTCTACCCAAGGCCCTGGGGGCAAGAAGTCAAAGCCTCCCATGTCTGCATAGGTCTCCATCTGAGGACCCTGTGGTGCCCTCAGCCGGGGATTGTCCAGTGGTCACTCTGCTCCTGCCCCAGGGTCTCTGAGGTGCCATGCCCTCCCGCCCGTGCTCACATCATTGGGGCAGTTGACATGTCCTTTCTCCTTGACCTGGCTCTTCCATGCTTCCAGCAGTTGCGGGTTCAGCGTGGGGAGACCGGGCCGTGTGTAGTTGAGCTGCAAAGTCAGGCCCGTGACAGTGAGACTGGGGCCTGGCAGACATAGTCATGATGTACAGCGTGGCTATGGTGTCTGGCCAGTTGCTCACAGCCCACAGAACAGCCACAGGACCCAGCCAGCAGCTCACAGCCCACAGCCCAAGGCACCTGGCCAGCGGTTCCCAGCCCCACAGTACCTTGGTGCCTGGAATAGCCATAGCACTCACAGCCTACCCTGTCTGGCGTAGCCACAGCACCATGGTGCCTGTCCAGCGGCTCACCCGTGCTGTCTCAGGGACAAGGTCTTCCTTCATACGCCGCTTGGTCCAGTCCCGGGCCAGCTCGTCCTCTGCAATCTCCTGTAGGTGAAACACGGCCACCTGGGCCGACGTGCGGCGGATGCGGCCACTCGGGGTCCGCTCCACACCCAGCAGGTCCTCAGCCTCAAGGGTCTTCTCTGTGGGCTCCTCGGGGGGCTGCAGGCAGGACAGTAAGAAACACAGCTCAGGGCCAGGTCAGCACGAGGTGCAGGGATTCAAAAGATGGGGACCCCAAAGGACACCGTGACCCACCAAGCTGGAAGGGGACACGGACCCCATGGAGGCATCTGTCTGGCGTGGGAGCTCACCGGGGCCGTGTGCTCGGAGCGCACGTGGTAGTCGTGGCCAGCCTTGGAGCGGTAGGTCTTGCCGCAGTGGGCGCAGGGAAAGGAGGGGCTGTCCACCTCACAGGGCGGCTTCCCACAGCGCCGCTGGTGGTACTGGTAGCCCATGAGGCTGGAGAAGGCGGCCCCGCAGCCCTGGGGGTTGGGGTCAGGGTCAGAGGTCAGCATGCCCCCACAACCCCAAGTCTTGGTCCCTGGGATGGCACTGACCTCCCGGGAGCAGCGCAGCCGCCCCATCTGCTTCAGGACCTTGCGCAGCCGCTCCCGCTCCTCCTGCTCTCCCCCGGGGGAGGTGTCAGCATCGCAGGGCTGCAGACAAGGCCAGCCAGGGAGGTCAGCTGGGCCCTGCTCCTGCCTCGGGGTGTGTGGGGGCCATAGGGAGGGGCAGTACCTTGGCACTATGCTCGGCCATGGTGTGGTAGTTGAGGCCGGCCTTGGATTTGAACTGCTTGCGGCAATGCTGGCATTTGAGTGCGTCCTGCAGCTGCACACGAGGACTTCAGCACCCAGCCAGGGCCTCCAGGGTCCCCCCACCCCCCAATCCTGGGCCTGGGCAGCTCACCTGTTGGCACACCTCCATGTGTCTCTTAAGCCCAGCCAAGGTCTTTCGCGTGACCACGCCACAGGTGGGGCAGACAACAGCCCCTCGCTCATGAATGGCACGCTGCCACTGCTCCTCAGAGCCACCTAGGGGCAGGGCCGGAGACTCAGGGGTTTCTAGAAGCCCAGCCAGAGTTCAGATCCACAGCCAGGTGCTCGCCTGCCCAGCCATTACCTGGGGCTGAATGGGCCACAGCAGCTGGCACCTCCTTGCTGATGGCAGTAGGAGAGGCTGCAGCCTTTTTCCGCCCATCCTCAGGGCTGGTGTACTCCTGCTTCTTGGAGCGATGACCTCGGGTCTTGTCCTCTGCCTTGGCTAGTCCTGTGTGCAGGGGAGGGTGTGGGTGAGGCCAGGACACCTGTGTGCAGGGGAGGGTGTGGGTGAGGCCGGGACACCTGTGTGCAGGGGAGGGTGTGGGTGAGGCCGGGACACCTGTGTGCAGGGGAGGGTGTGGGTGAGGCCGGGACACCTGTGTGCAGGGGAGGGTGTGGGTGAGGCCGGGACACCTGTGTGCAGAGGAGGGTGTGGGTGAGGTTGGGACACCTATGTGTAGGGGAGGCTGTGGGTGAAGCCGGGACACCTGTGTGCAGGGGAGGGTGTTGGTGAGGCCGGGACACCTGTGTGCAGGGGAGGGTGTGGGTGAGGTTGGGACACCTATATGTAGGGGAGGGTGTGGGTGAGACCTGGGTACCTGTGTACAGGGAAGGTTGGGGCGCCGGTATACAGAAGTGTGAATGGGACTGGGCTAGACCCACAAACTGCCCAAGTGGCTGGGGCCTTACCTTTGAGGCCGAAGGTGCCTGAGATGGAGGGCTGCTCCCCGGTGAACTTCCTGGGTGTTTTCTGCTTCCTCCCTGATTTGGACAGGGAGACCAGAATCCCAGTCACTGAAGCCACAGCAAAAGTCCCTCCCAGATACCAGCCACGGGGTTGGGTCTCCCTTACTGTGCTTGGTGCGCTCAGAGTCCTCCTCGTCCATTAAAGGGCGGCTGCCTGGCCTCAGGGGGCTCTCTCCGGGCTCTGGCACCAGCTGGAAGGTGGTGCATTGGCCAGTGGTGGATGGGCCACACTCGCCATTCTCTGGTCTCACCTGCTTGGGCGGGATGGGGCAGGCGTCCAGGTCCTCGGCAGCCCTGTCAGGAGCAGGCAGGTAAGGCCCAGGAGGACGTGGTTGTGGCCTTGCCCTCCCGCCACACAGGGAGCCCCGTACCTTTTCTTACCACTGCTCCTCCCCATAGCCCGGGGCGCTCGGTTCTCAGACTTGGTCAGCAACACCATTTTGCAGGGTGGAGTGTGTCTGCTGATGGCAATGGGCCTGCTGACTGGCACAGGTTTGGTGACCACAATGGGCCGGCTGACTGGCACGGGCTTGGTGAGCGGCACATGTTTGGAGACCGGCACAAGCTTGGTGACCGGCACAGGCCTGCTGACCGGCATGGGCCTACTGACTGGCATGGGCCTGCTGACTGTGATGGGTTTGCTGACCGGCACAGGCCTGCTGACTGTGACTGGCTTGCTGATGCCAACAGGTTTGCTGCCAGTGACAGGTGGGCTGACCCCCACGGGCCGGCTGACAGGCCCAGGCTTGGGGGCAGGCAAGGGTCGGTCCATGTGGTTCCAGATCCGATGCTTCTCCAGCTGGGTCTTGGAGGTGAAGGCGGCCTCACAGAAGGGGCAGGGAAAGGCCAACCTGTCCGAGATGGCGCCCTGGGCAGGACGGGCAGGTGTGGGACAGGGTCCCTGCGGCCTCCGCCCGGCTGTGTTCCCAGACCCGCAGGCGCTTACCCCTCGACAACGCTGGTAGTGGTACTTGAGCCCGTAGATGCTGGGGAACTCCAGCCAGCATCCTGAGTTGGGACATTTCACCCTGGAGTGAGCCTTGAACTCATCCTTCCACTGGTTCATCAGGGACAGCTGGGCATGGGGAAAGGCCAGGCTACCGATCCCTCCCCCACCCAGGCCTCTGCCCACCCCGGCCCCAGGCTCAGGGCCCTCCCCAAGCCTGCAGGACAGGGAGAGTGCAGCGGCCACAACCAGACCTTTTCTGGGGGCCACACACTGGATCCACAGGGGCCGCATGGTCACATCCTGGGACCAGAGCCAATGCGGGCAGTGGCCACCCCAGCCCCAGCCCCTGCCCAGGCCTCAGGGAGCTCACAGGAATATCTCGCAGGGCCTGGTTCTCAGCTTTCGGCCGCCCCTTCTTCTTCCCTTCTGTCCTGTCGCAGGCTGGACTCCCGGGGTCAAAGCAGAGTGAGGCCTGCCCTGGCACAGTCTGTCCCCCACGGGCCACCGGCATCCCTGTAGTACGGGGCACACGCAGGCTAGAGGCTGGCACTGGGGGTGGGGGAAGGGAAGGCTTGTTCCCGCAGAAGCACCAAGACCTAGGGCAAGCCCTTCACAGCCCCCACCCCTCACTGCCAGCCAGCCAGCCCAGGCCCTCCCTCACCCAGCTTCGGCGGGTCCTGCAACATGGCCAGGCGGACCTCCTTCTTGCTGCCTTCCTTCCCAGGCCCACTCCTGCTGGACCCGTGTAGCCGTCGGCCACTCCCAACGCAAAAGGGCTCGGTCATCTCTGCAGGGCACGTCAGAAGCAGTCGGGTGAGGCTCATGCGACCTACTGGCTGCTGGTTATCCCATGCAGGAGGTGGGCTTCTCGGTGGGGGAAGGGCTTCTCAGGGCACACCAGGGTTGGGGCACAGCCAGCCGCCCTGCCCAGGCAACACCCACCGGCAGGCACCGGCAGGAGGGTGTGAGGGCCTGGTGCCAGCCAAGCCCTGCCACCATCCCCCTATTTACCCCCACCCCTAGGGAGACTTCCCTCCAGGGGCGCAGGGCCCCCTGCCCATCAGCTGAGTTCAAGTCACACCAGGCCGCTGGCCAGTGACCTGCCCTGTCCTCCACAGGGACACTGCTGGGGGTGGGAGGCAGGGCTGGGAGCCCCGAAAGGCTTAATTCACAAGGGCCCCACGGCAGGGCGAGGGCCGAGTCAGGCACTGCCCGCAGCCACGGGCGGAGCGAGAGCCCTCTGCCCCTCAACTTCTCTCAGGTCTCAGTTGGAAGGAGGCCGGCAGACAGCGCCGGCCTGGGTCGCTGAGTCCCCACTGACCCCCAAGGCCCGAGGCGCGGACACGACCGAGCCCCCGCTCGTGCTCCTGGCCCCGAGAGGGTGTCTCAGAGCCCGGCCGACCCTCCCTCCGCCGGGGCCTGGGCGCCGGCAGCGGAGGGGGAAGCCAAGGCCAGCGGCGGCCCAGCGGGGTCGCGGCGCTCCCGGCGACGAGGGCGGCCGCGCCAGCGCGCCGGGGCCGAGCTTGACACCCACCTGTCACCTGCGCGGGCGCGGGCCTCGGCGGTGGCCCCGGAAGGCCCGATGGCGGTGCGGGGGGGTGGGGGGGCGAAGGCAGTGAACCAAAATGGCGACTTTTTCCGAGGAGGAGGAGGCGGGAAGACGGCGCCGGCGCGGGGCGCGGGGCGCGCGCGGGGTCCGTGCGCGGCGGCGGCAGCGGCGGCGGCGCGGCCTGCGGGGCGGGGGCGCCGGCCGGGCCGGGCCGGGCCGAGGGAGGGCGGCCGGCGCTTACCTGCGGCTCCCAGCTGGGCCGGGGCCGGGCCGGGCCGGGGCCGGGGGCGCGGGGCGCGGGGTCCGGGCGGTGCAGGCTGCGCGCCGCGCTGCGCACATGCGCGCTCCGCCCCTCCCACCTTTGACAGTTTTACTGCGGGGGGAGGGGGCGAACTCTCGCGGTATTCCCGCCACACGCGGAGCCGGGGAGGGGGCAGCTTGGCCGGCCCTCCGGGAGCCGAGCCCGGGTGTGTGTGGGGGCGATGCTAGGGGATCCACAGCCTCCGCCGTGAGCAGAGGCCGCGCGGTAAACTGAGGCACGCTAGGGTCAGTGCACACGGATTGAGCTGGGGCTGGTGCGGCAGGAAGGCCACCGTGCTCCAGGACTACTACCCACTGGCTCCTGTAGACCCTGCCAGGGTCCCGAGGCTCGGGGTTGGGATCCTGGACCCCCAACCCAAACCCTCCTGGCATTGGGGGCTGGGTTCTGCAGATAGAGCTGGGGTCAGCCTAGGGTGAGGGGGCTTGGGAAAGGATGAATCAGAGTGGGGAGGAGGCCCAGCTCCAGAGCCTGTTGCTTTGGGGGAGACCCCTGTGCTGCCCGCCAGGCCCCCAGATGATTGTGTGTGGGGGTGCCACTGTTGTGTTAGTGCAAGCCCTTCAGGACTCCGTGGAGGTGATGTGGTTTGCAGACAGACCTTGCTCAAGGCTTTGGGGCAGGGCTCACAGTGTCCTTCCATCCCACAGCCCCAGGGATAAGCTGGGTTTGGGGGAAGAACCTGTGTGTGGCAGACAGTTGGGGTGAATCCCAGGTGAGCTTTCCCCTCCTGCCCTGTGCATCCCCTCCCTGCCCCAGCATGTCCCAGGCTGCATGTCTGCCCAGACTCTGTGTGCATCTGTGGGTGAGGCCCTGGCCCTGCAGATGATGCCTTACTTGGAGCCGCATCTTGCTGACTGCCCACTGAGAAGATGGGAGCTGGGACCCTCAGGTGGATACCAGAGGCCACAGGCGGCTAGGAAGGGTCTTCCTGCAGCCCAGGAGGGGGCCGCCCCTCCACCTCCCACTTACTGAGACCAGGTCTCTGAAACCACCCAGTTCCCTGGACTGCAGCCCTTGGCCCTCCCAGCCTGGGGAACTCCTGGGGTCCCAGGCAGCCCCTGTACAATGCAGCACAGCTGCCCCCTAGTGGCCCACGCCCACTGCTCCCACAGCCGGGGCCCAGGCACTGAGAACCGCATTTATTTGTTTTCTTTCTTCTCCTTTGTCACAGTATAAAAAGTGAACACAAAGGGGAAGGGCAGGAGAGGGGTGTAGGCAGGACAGGAGGGAGCCAAGGAGAGTCCTGGGGTGCGCTGACAGCATGGGTACTGCGGTGGGGAGCTCCCCATGGGAGGCACAGAATGGAGGTGCCAAGGGGACCTGTGGTAGCCAGGTTCGCACCCTGAGGCCAGCTCAGGGCCACAGAGGGGACTGGGTTGACTGTGGCTGGGTCCCAGAGGAACACGAGGGTGGGACTGCCTGGGGGAGGGGAGCATGGCCCTCCCCAGTCTCTCTGGTAAGACCACATCACCTTGGGGGAAGATGTGCTGGCTAGAGCTTGGGTGGGAAGGCGCTAAGTGCGAGATTCCCCTCAGGCCCTGGGGAGGGGGCTCCCTGGACAGGCTCCTCTCAGCTTGGAGGCTTTGCCGGTTTGGACTCAGCTGGCCTCAGATCCCATGAGCAATCGGAGATGGAGTGTAAGCCTGACTATGTGCTGGGCCTGTTGGGCCCTGGGCAAGGATGGGGAAGGGCAAGGAGCTAAGGGTGTGGAGACAGTGCATCCCCTGTGGGCAGCAAACAGGCCAGCTTCCTGATGCAGCAGGAACCTAGCCGACTAGGGGCTGTCCAAACCCACCCTGGCCCTAGCCAGCTGCCCCTCAAGTGGTCAGGAGCACTAGGGAGCCAGGGTTCAGGTGCCAGAAGGAGGGGCCCCAGCCCACCCAGAGTCCCCTCCAGTCCACTGAGCATCCTGCAGCGTCCAGGGGGAGCTGAGCCATCCTTGGCCACAGGCCTTGGTCACAGTGCTGGGGTCTGGGGTCCGAGCCTCAGCAGCAGCTAGGACATGTTCCCAAAGGAAGCTGTGGGGCAGATGGGGTGGGGAGGGGCATGGTCCCATTCCCGGGCCCCACCAAGAGGCCGTCCCATGCACCCTGTGCCCAGTCACAGCCCGGCCCAGGCCACTGACCTTGGCTGAGGAGCTGCAGGCTCCGTCCCTCCTCACGCACCTGCAGACGCAGCACCTGCTGCAGCACCTCCTGCCTTTGGGCCTCCTGTGCCAGCCCCATGCGTTGCAGCTTCTCTGCATTCAGCCGCAGCAAGGCCCGTCCTGTGGGGAGAGGGTGCCAGCTGAGACATGGGGAGGCCAAGAGAAGTAGAGGTGACAGATGGAGAGTGGGCATGGGAGAGACAGGCTGGGTGTGCGGGTCCTGCCCCTCCCTGTCCCCTTCCCCCACTGTACCAGTGATGGCGTGCTGGGAGAAGGCTTCCACGTAGACGAGGTAGTTATGCGGACAAGACTTCTTGAGCCACTTGCACACCTCTTGCTGACTCCACAGCACCACAGGTCGTGTCAGGCCACCCGGCAAGGGGCTGGTATGGTACAGGCCGCAGTGGTCCAGGCACAGCTGACCCTGTGCACAGGAGGGCAGTGAGCAGAGGGGAGGCATGGCACGTATGAGGGCAGCAGTGGGGGGGTGTGGGTACCTGGGGGACCTCTGTGCCAGGTTGCTGTAGGAGCTTGATGGGTCTCTGGCTGCGTGAGTCATGGTGCCACGTGAGGCTGGTGCCTGGTGCCCGAGGCAGGTGGCGGGGGATGCTTTCTGCCGACACCGTGTGCTCCAGGAGGGTCCGGCAGAAGCTGAAGTGCGCAGTGGCTGCACACAGAACACCTGCTCAGGGCATTCTCAAGTCTCATGTGCCCCCTCCCTGTCTGCTCTGTACCCCAAGCAAAGGTTCCCGAGTCCTCAGGTAGGAGAGGTGTGAGAGCTGGGCACAGGGCTCTCTGGGTCACGACCTGCCTCTGGGCAGACCCTCAGAAAATGCCCCTGCCTGCAGCCATCCGAGACATGGGGTCCCTGCTCCCTGGCCTCATATGGCTCTCACTGTCCTTACCAAAGCCTCAAGAACAAGCTGGGCTCAGGACAGCACCCAATGAAGGGCCTCACTGGGGCATAGCTGCTACCGGAGGCTCTCCTGCCTGCCCCTGCAGGAACCGCTCCCATCTAAGGCAGGAATCAAAGAGCCCCACCCTCACCCACCCACAGGTCTACCCCCTGCTCGCCCTGGGCGGAGGGCCCACACTTTGCCCCCAGCCTTCCACTCCTATAAGGTTCCTGAGGCTGTGAACCACACAGATCACAGACTCCATAACGGAGTCCAGGGGAGCCTGCAGTGCGTGGGAATAACCTGCAGACAGGTATCAGGGCCTGGGGCTCTTGGGAGGCGGGGCGGGGCACACTGTGCTTCAGGGAACCAGTCCCACGCTTCTGCCCCTGCCGCACCTGCCCGGGACCCGCCCATTTCCTGCCCACACTCAGCCTCCTCCCCTAGCCTCAACATCCCTATTCCAGAAGGGAGGGGCCGGGGGAACCTAGCTGTTGCTACGGTCCCCCTTTCAGCTCCACCGCAAGGGCTGAGACGTGGTTTCCCTCCGCGAAGGAAAGGTGACCCCGAGTGTGAGACTGGAGCGTGCCGGGCGCACCCCAAGCTGCGGGCGTGCAGCGGGCGTGCTGCGCCCTGCGGCGCAGCACAAAGGCCTGGGGGACACGGTCAGACCAAGGGACCCCCCCCCCCGCCCCGCCCGCCGCCAGCGGACCGCACCTCCCGCCTGCCTGCGCCCGGCCCCGACCCGGTCCCGACCCGGTCCCGCTCACCGTCCACATCCCGGTGCTCCCCGAAGCCCGCGCGCACAGCCCCGGCGCGGCCTCGCGGGGGGCTTCGCTTGGTCCTCAGCTCGCCGAACATGGGGCCCGCGGCGCCGCCCGCGAACGCCCCTGGCCGCGCAGGCGGCCGGTGTGGCCGGCGGGGAGCGCGCACCGCCCCGCCCCGCCCCGCCCGGCCGCCCCGCCGAGCCGGTCCGGCCCGCGAGTCTGCGCGGCGAGGCACCTGCCGCGGGCTCTGAGCGCCGCGCGCGCCGGACTCGGAGCTGGGGAGGCGCGCGCGGGTCCGCGTGTGCCTGGCGTGTGTATCAGGGCCACGGGCTCAGTGCGCACCTGGACAGGCTCCGCGGACATCGCTGTGTCCCCGGGCCTACTGTGTGTGGAGGGACTGGGGGAGGCCGTTGCACTCTTTGCTGGGTGCGGGCCAGGGGCCGCGGAGCCGCCCTCCACTACCCATGCCTCATGGACTCATGTCCACCCCGCCCTCAGGTGGGCACCTGCTGCCCAGGAAAACTGGCCAGACCCTCCCTTAACTCCTAGACAGCCCCCTCAATCCTCTGCAGTTGTGGGGGTGCTCTGGAATGGGGGATGTTCCTGTTGCAGGATCCCCGGTGGAAGTAGGGGGTATATTGCAGAGGGGTCAGGGTATACCTGGGCTGGTTGTGAAGATGCAGCCTGCTGCTTAGCCTTCCCCAGGCTTGTATGGGCTGAGCTGAGCACCTGGACACAGGCACAGGGGGAGGAAGGACTCCCCACCTGCTGTCCAGCACCAATTCCAGCTTCCTGCTCCTGCAGTGCTGGGGCTTCAGGTGCTTGGGTTTTGTGGTTCATGCCACTTGGAGGGAGACCTGCTTCCCTGGACTTGGGAACAGCAGTAGGTGGGAGCTCTCTCCCTGCCGGTGGGGCTGTCTCTTAAAGAAACACATCTGCCCAGCACGGTGGCCTACCAGCTAAAGCCCTTGCCTCGAACACTCCAGGATCCCATTTGGGCACCAGATGTAATCCCCACTTCCCATCCAGCTCCCTGCTTGTGGCCTGGGAAAGCAGTCAAGGACGGCCCAAAGCTTTGGGACCCTGCACCTGCATGGGAGACCTGGAGGAAGTTCCTGGCTCCTGGCTTCGGATAAGCACAGCACTGGCCATTGCGGTCACTTGGGGAGTGAATCATTGTATGGAAGATCTTCCTCTCTGTATATCCGACTTGAAAGAAAGAAAGAAAGAAAGAAAGAAAGAAAGAGAGAGAGAGAGAGAGAGAGAGAGAGAGAAAGAAAGAAAGAAAGAAAGAAAGAAAGAAAGAAAGAAAGAAAGAAAGAAAGAAAGAAAGACATCTTCAGAAAAAAAGAGGGCTGGCCCTGGTTCTCGCCCTGGCTGCTCCTGGATGGAGCTCCTGCGACCATCTAGCAGCAGTGTCCCTCAGGTCCATGTCTGCTGCTTCTCACTAGTTACCCTCGCTGCGCTTCCCAGACTCTTGGTAAGATGTGTATTATTTGAAAGGTACAGTAACAAGGGGAGCGCCCATTCACCAGTTAAGTTGACTCGGCCAAAAGGGCTAGCAACGGGTCCAGCGGGCCTCTCCGGCCGCCTGCCCAGGCCTGTGCACAGGGGGCGGCTGCACGGACAGCAGCCTCTGCTCGCTCTCGCGGCTGCCTGGGCTGCCCAGGCACAGCAAGGCTGTGGGGGCCATGAGGGCAAAGCAGGGGCTGTGGGGGCCATGAGGGGTATATTGGGGGCCGTGGGGGTCATAGGGGGCACAGCAGGACTGTGGGGTCGTGGGGGCACAGCGGGGACCCTGGTGGGGCACAGCGGGCGGTGGCGGGGGCCCGTGGCAGTGCGGTTTCCTGGAACGCGCCTGCGCAGGCGCACACCCTCGGGCAGGGCGACCCGCGGCCGCTAGCCTGCCCAGTCGCCAGGGGACGCTCTGGCCGCCTCCGCCGCAGGTGGGCGGGAGCAGCGCGCCCGGCGCTTCCGCCCCGGAGGTCGGCGGGCCCCGCTTCCGGCGCGCGGATGACGCGAGTAGGGGCGACTCCTTCTGCAGCGGAGGCCTCCAGGCTCGAACTACGGAGACTCGGCGGCTTCTGCTTTCCTGAACCCGGGACCGCGGCGCCATGAACAAGAAGAAGAAGCCGTTCCTGGGCATGCCCGCTCCGCTCGGCTACGTGCCGGGGCTGGGCCGCGGGTGAGCCTGGGACACGGGCCTCTTGCGGTGGTGGTCGGTGGTGGGAGCGATTTTCGGGAGGTGGACGTGCAGGCTGGGGAGGCTGGGGAGCTGCATCCGCGCGTGTGGGCTCCCTGCCGAGGCACCCCCGTGCACCAGGGGTGCTCCGACCAGCAGAGCCAGTAACGTGGGCAGGGAGAGGATCTAGGGATGAAGCACCGACAGGAGACCAGTGATGGTAGAAGTCTCTGCCAAGTCTCCCTTTATGCTCCTTCACCTCCTTATCTGCTTTCCTCACCCAGTCCTAATTTAGCCAAGGAATTGGATACAGATGAGTCCAATTAGTCTAGGTGTGTTTAGCCACCAGCCCAGTTCCTGTTCCTGCCCAGTTCAACGAGTACTAATCAACTCCTTAGCCCACAACAGGTCCCACTTTTTATTTTAAAGCCGACTTGAATGCGCCTGTCTTAGGTTGTGGACTCTCTGGTCATCAGCCTTACCCGTCATTGGGAATCTCCGTGGCACAACGGAGCCCTTGTCTTAGGTTGGTCAGTCCCGGTTCCATCTTACCCAAATTCTGTTGTTCCCTAGCTCAGGCAGTCGGTTCCGCAAGCTTGTTCATGGTCTCAGTTGCTGTAGGGTGTCCTAGGGTCACCGCTGCTGTGGTGGTGGCTGCCGATGCCAGGGCAATGCTGGCTACGCTGGTCGATGTTATGCCAAAGTCTCTTTTATACCTTATCAGGCCAACAGAGGCCTCTCTGTTAGCCCCGACAGGCACAGGCAGGATTCCAGGCAGCTGCATGACAACAGCAGTATCGCCATTCTCATTCCAACACGCTGTTAGGGTGCAGCTGACCTCGGTGCAATTCACTTCAGAGGCATTTTTTTCTGCATGTAAGAGAGAAAAACACAGGGGGATAACACAGGCAGACGTGGGCTTAAAATCCAGGAGCTGAGGTTCACCCACGTGAACAAGTCCTCAAATCCAGAGGAGTGATTGCACTAATAATTTCCATGGGAATAACTGCCTCCCTGAGTAAGGGAAAGGGGGTGCATGCCAGAGCATGCCCATTCCCCACAAAGCTGCCACATAGAAAAGGTGGGAAATATCAGGACCTTGGTGCTCATAGGAGGAAGACAAAAAGGGGAATGCTTAACAAAGACCTGATATATTTGCTTGTCCCGTCGATCTTCTGACTCAAATGCCATCACCATGGCCAGTTCCGAGCTTACACAAGACTCAGCAACAGGAGCTTGCCGAACAAGCCTCTCAGGAATCCACCATGGGCCATTTTCATTTTCTGGGAAAACACAAACCGATCCTCGCCCCCATATGAGGACGGGATCTGGGCCTTGCCACTGACCGGTCAAGGGATCTTTCCCCATCATGTAACGCTTCTGCTCCCGAGACTAATTCCAGTGACGATCTGCAACTGACCATCCTTCAGCATCTAATGTTAGAAAATTTAAGGTAAATAACAAAAGGTTCAAATGATCTTGGGGAGTGCTAAACTCCCACCCCCCCCCTTTTTTTTTTTTGAAGATTTATTTCTATTGCAAAGTTAGACACACACAGAGGAGGACAGGAGAGAGGAAGATCCTCCATCTGATGACCCATTCCCCCAGATAATCGCAGTGGTTGGTGCTGCGCTGATTTAAAGCCAGGAGGCAGGAACCTCTTCCAGGTCTCCCGTATGGGTGCAGGGTCCCAAGGGCCTGGGCTGTCCCCCGCTGCCTTCCCAGGCCACAAGCAGGGAGCTGGAAGGGAAATGGAGCCGCCAGAATTAGAACCAGCACCCATATGGGATCCCGGCACACTCAAGGTGAGGACCTTGGCCACCAGGCCACCGTGCCAGGCTCCCGTTTTTTGTTTTAATAAGGTAATCCTTAATAGTATGGTTGGTGTGTTCCACAATACCTTGAGGATTATAAGGAATGACTGTAATTAGTTGTATATGGTGGGAGGCAGCAAAATCAGAAAACTTACTGCTGATGTAGGGGCCATTATCAGTTTTAATAACTTTGGGAGTTCCCAAGATGGAAAAACATGCATAGCAAATGGGCTAGAGCGTGCCTGACTTGTTCCCCTGTCTGAGGAGTAGCTACAATAAATCCAGAGCGAGTATTGATAGTAACATGCACATGCTTTAGTATCCCAAACACTGGGATGTGTGTCATGTCCATTTGCCAGATATGATTGGGTAACAACCCTTGGGCTTTATGCCATAATGGGGAACAGGCAAAAGTTGAGGGCACGCTGAGCATTGCTTCATGATGGTTCTGGCTTGTTCCTTGGTCAGACTAAAGTACAATCGAAAGGTGTTGGAATTCAAGTGAAACCTAGCACGTGCCTTTTGCGCTTTCTCAAGGGCCTAGGGCCACCAATTTGGTGGCAGTATCTGCAGCCACATATCTTGATGTCAAGTGCCCAGGCAAACTTGTTTGGGCTCGAATATGAGTCACAAAGAATTTATCTTCCTGGGCCCAAACACAGGCTTGAATTTTTGCAAATAGAGACACTGCTGCAGAGTGGGAAAAAATTTGATCCGCTGTCTCCAGCATGGGAAGAGAATGGGCAGTGTACCCACTATCAGTATTACAAATTAAAGAGCTGCGTGGAAAATGTTTGAAAGGCTGCAAGAATTGCCACCAATTGCACAACCTGTGCAGAGACAAAGGATGTGGGGATGGTGGTAATCTGGGCATCTATTACAAAAGCTACCTGACCATTAGACGATCCATCAGTGAAAACAGTTAATGCTTCTGGCAATGGCTGAAGAGAGATTACAAGTGGAAAAACAATAGGATGCAAAATTTTTAAAAATGTACAATGGGGTCCTTGGGATAGTGGTTGTCAAAATTATTATTATTTTTTAAAGATGTATTTACTTTTATTACAAAGTCAGATATACAGAGAGGAGGAGAGACAGGAGAAGATCTTCCATCCGATGATTCACTCCCCGAGTGAGCCCCAGTGGCCGGTGCTGCGCCAAACCGA